TGTAAAGTCTTTCATACTTATTGTACCAATAATCAATACTGCTAAGAGTTCTTTTTGTCCCTGAATCTAATGTGGATATTCTCTCAAGCTTTTTTCCCAGAATGCTCAGATAAGCCAAATAGCACATTTTCATATATTTATTTTTTGCAAATTTAACTTTTCTATAATTTGCCTCAAATTATAATTAGATTTGGGAATATCTTCAATAATAGCTAAAAAAATGTGATCATTGTACACCACTATTCAAAAATTCATCTGAATCGTCATTATTATAAAAAATATATTGATAATCACTTTAAAAAATGAACCACCGCCATCCAATGAAATTCTTATAAAGGCTGATGTTGGGTGTAAACCACGTAGTTTTAACAAATCTAGCACAAAATCTGATGTATTTTGAACATATACAAGATCTCTTAAAATTACATGGCCTATACTGTCAACAAACGCACACTTCTGTACATAGCAGTAATTAGAAATATAATCTTCTAATTCAGAAAAACACCCAAAAATATTAGGCTCTATTGAAAGTTTACTTCCTAAACCTTTGTGTAGAGTAGCAACCATCTCTTTTGTTTTTCTATTTGACAGCTCTAGCACAACCTGTAATTGTTTTATTATTTTAAGCTGCTGGATAGAACTTCTTTTTGTTTTATTTTCTGGTGTGTCAATTGTGACTTTAAGAGGATTTCCTCCTAAAGATAAAAAGGAACGTTTATAAAAAAGAAAGTAAGAATAATAAAAATTAGGACTTAAAAATCATCAAAATACCTTGGCATCTTTAGCTCCTCATTCACCACGAGGCGAATCTCCCTTTTTAAGTCTATAAAGATTTCTTCTGCACCCAAAACAAACAACTGATGGATAGCATTTGTTGTTCATCGAATATCCTGGAAAGATAAACAGCTGAACAGCAGTTCCTCTAAGTTTTATTTTTTATTTTTTAATGATTTAGATCTTTCGCCATACTTTTCCCAGCAACAACAACAAGTAGAATTCATAGTTATTTAAAAAAAAAAAAAAAAATTATGGTAATTAGATTAAGTGATTGAACTATCCGCAATATAAAACTATTACCGAAAACTATTACAACTACCAAACTGAACTATTTTCTCATCTAGGAAATATATTAGTTTAGTTAAAATAGGGGGTAAATTAGGTGAAGTTTTATCTAATAGCTGCATTTGTATTAGTTGAAATAAAAACTACAATATTAAATTTATTTTTTTACTAAAGTTTTTATTATATAGTTATTAAAGATGTATAAATTTGGATGCATTATATTAAAAAATAAATGTTATGAAATAAAATATAAAACCTTCTTTTCCAGTGATAAAAAAAAACTTTTATTAAATTTTTTAAGTTTGTGATTTGGCAAAAAATTAAAAAATTTAATTACAATTTTAGAATATAGTTATATCTAAAATTGTATGATAGCAACGCATTTTGATTTCAGCAATAATTTTTTTTGAAACAATATGGATAATACTATTACATAGTAAGGATTTGGTTTGAGTGCACATCATAAAACCTGGCGGTCTCTGTGGTTCATAGTGGACAGCATTAATAATAAAATTTACAGTAACAACTGTTTTTAGAAGTAACAATCGAAGAGTTTATTTTCAAAACGCGGTAAGCGCCATTTTAAAAAAAACCTAGATATTGTGTGGTTTACTTTTAGTTTATAAGGACCTAACAGACATTGTTTACGAATATATGCTGAGCGAAGTATAACCCTATAATTTTTTACTTCTAAAAAACATTTGTTTTCAAAACACGGTATAGAATTTTTAATTTATTTTCAAAGTGCGGTATTTATTTGTGACCAATCTGTGGCAAATGTATAGCGCAAACCTTGTAAAGTTAATAAAATTGCGGGTCGCGATGGACGAGATTAATGCGTTATCTAATCTCCTATTTCACATAGAAAAAAAGATAAAATGCTTGAAACAAGAAAAATGAAAAGCATTTCTTCATTCTAGTGTTTGTTTATACTTTTATACTTTGTTTAATTAAACTGATTATGGAATGATGATGAGAAATATATTAAAAAGATAACTCATATTAATGAGTTTAAATATATTTGTTATCTTTTTCTTTTTATGGAAAGCATTTAAATATAATACTTATTTTTTATTTTTTGTTAAACCGACGATTCCTTTATTGCAAAGAAAATGAGGCAAATGCAGTGTTTCTTTTTTAAAATTTTATTTCATTAAAAAATATAACGTTTATGTTATATAAATTGTCCATTAGTTCTGAACAGACCTAAAAATAGAGGCGGAATAAAAAATTAATAGCCTATGAAGATAAGGGAGATATTTTAAAAAATTTGATGCATTTTTCAACGTATCAATTCTTTGCCTATTTTTATATGCCTGCTACGGACAAAGCAAGAAATAAGCATAGTGTTGATGCTTCTTTCCTTGAAAAAGTAATATATTAAAAATCTGATCATCATTATTACAATTACACTATCACTATTTTTTAAACTTTAAAATTAAATATAAAATAAAAAATATTATGGTTTATTGTGTCATATTTAACTTTCCGAAATAAATTTAAATTCATAATCGTGAATTTTGAAACACTAGATTACATTACTTTAACAGAATATTGTTTACATTCACATTATCATTAAAATATAATTACTAAACATTAAATACATAGAGTTATACAATATGTTGAATAAAATTAATTATTTAAAGTTATTTAGGTCTTTTAAAGTTTATAAACTTTCCATAATATCTTTATAAAATGGATATACTACATTTTGTTTATAAGCTGTAATTGGATATTATTTTTAACGTAACAAGGGGCAAAATGAGACACTTAAGCATTAATTTATCTAATACCCGTCTAACAACTTTTGAAAAAATAACTTGATATTTTTCAATTCTTCTACCATCCTATTTGAAACTTACTAAATATGAGTTGCAAAACTGCAGTGGTTTAGTCAACAGAGATCATTTATTGACAGCACCTATCCTGTCTCATTTTGCCCCGCATACCGGGGCAAAATGAGACAGATTTTTTTTTTAGTAATTTAAATAAATAAAGTTAAGCGAAACAGATCTTTACGAGGATTAGTAAAAAATACATTTTATAATTTATTACAGCTATTTATAGTTTACTGCAGTAACCTATATGCTATAATCTACTCACTTTATATTTTATATACTACTTACTTTATTACATTACAAGTACATATACAATACAATAAGATTATAAAATACAAACATAGTAAATATAAACATCAGGCAATTATTTGCTTCAATTTGATTAAATATTTATTATATTTAAATATAAGTTAACAAAATATAAAACATAATTCTATATTGGATAACAACTAAACATTTCAATTAACAAAATAAAAAGTAAGTAAATACAGTATAAGAAATTTAAATCTAAAAAATGTAAATATTAACATTTGCAATGTTTGTTGTTTTAATGTAAAAAATTAAACAAACATATTATTAGATATAGGCAAAACAAATACAAACAGAATGTCTCGTTTTGCCCCGCATCATATTGTTACTAAGCAACACCTGTTACTAAGCTACAACTGTTTTTGTTACTATAGTTTTAATGGAAACCTGCCTTCAGCCAAAACCATCTGTCAATTTACATTTAATTTTGCCTATTCTTATTGCCAATCAATGTGTTAAAGCTAATATACAAAATACTATATTAATAATATACAAATAATAAACTAATATACAAATTACTATATTAGTATAAATTGATTTATATTGAAATTAATTAAATTATTTGTGGTGCTTAAAATTTGTTTTCAAGATATGTACCAAAAAAAATCTGCGCGGACATTTTAAAAGATATTTATCTAATGTATTTCGATATTGAATGTTATATATATTTTGAAAGTGCATATATTAATATTCTTAAATTTCACTTAAGAAAGTTTGAGAAGTTTTGTACGTGGGAACGCACTTTAGAAATTGTTTTGTTTGATACACCAGCGAAAATGCAAAATTTTTTCTCGCTTCTTATCATGATTTAATGACGTTTCAATTAAAACTAATTGTTTTGATAACAGAGTTGTTTAAATTTTGAATAACACTAACGCATTTTAAAACAATTAGCTATTTAAAATGATGCTCGGTAAACACCGTAAACCCCACATCAGAACACGTGCAGATTTTTTCTGGTACATGTCTTACTCGCATATAAATTGGCTAAGCTTCACAAAAGTTTCATGTAATGAATGAATCATAGAGAATCATGATGTTAAATTTAAATAAATAAAAAAGAAGTTCACGTTATTTTGAAAAAAAAAATTTTTATCAAAAGTTAATCAGCACTACTTTGCGCTATGTTATTAGCGTAAGAAATTTCAAAAACTTTGCAAAATAACCTAGTGGGTACTGAACGTAAAGCGGACCTTTTTTAAACGTTTCGCACGTTTTTTGAACGGTCAAAAGACGTCTTTTTTAGATTTCGTGCCCACAGGGAAACCTGGTGCCGGGTTCTTGGACCGCGAAACTAGTTTTCAATTGTTTAAATAAAGCTCAAACAAACATTTACATAACACCAAACCGACATTTACATTACTAAAAAATGACTCAAAAAAAACTTTCTCCTTATGATGATATGTTGGTATAGTAGTGACGTATTGTTATAATGGTGACGTGTTGATATAATGGTGACGTGTTTTAAAGTTAGGCTTGAGAAAATGTGTAACAGCATTTCAAAAATAATAATAATAGCCTTTTTGAATATAGTATTCCTTCCCCCGGCGTTGGGAAGGTGAATCTAATAAAAATAATATTAATAACTTCAGTATTAGACCTCTCAAACAGGAGGTTGCTATAATACTTGTTGTTAAGTAGGTTGTTATAATACTTGTTATTCAAATGATTTTCATGTTGACTCAAAACTTTCAAAAAATATAAATATAGAAATAAGTAGGAGTTAAATTTGGCATAAAAAAGTTTTAAACAAAATAAATTGAGTCTTATTTATAACTTTTTTATTTTTAGATGATAGAAAATACATTTGTAAACGAGATTGAAGATTTTCTACTAGATCAAGATCCTTTGCCTTCTTATTGCTTGCGTCTTGTACTTTTATGCGCAGAAAGGTCCCCTCATGTTATTAATGGTATGCTTAAAGAAAAGGTCATATCTACCTTGTTACATATACTTGAAACTCATCAAAACGAAACAGGCAATTCAACACTTCTAAATGCAATTGGTTTGTTAAATCTTTTTATAATGAAGAAGGAGCTAGATTTTTCATGGCTGTGCAATTTAGGTTTAATCGAATACCTTACTTCAGCTTTTATGGAAGTTGCATCTTCAAAAGAGGATGATACATCATTACTGTTGCAGCTGTTAGATACAATACAACAAATTTATAAAAAAATTGAAACTGCAGTAAAAAGCGTTCTTTTAAACAAGTACCAAAGCTCATCCAATAAAGATCTCTCGTTAGAAAAAAACAATGTTGAAAAGTTACTTAAACAGAGTAAAGGGCTTTGCGAGCTTAATGGTATATTTGTTAATTTGCTAGTTTTTGACGACGATGACATAAAAGAGTGGGCGTGCAGGTGCTTGTATTTATCAGCGGAACTTTTTGGTGGGAGTAATGACAGCTGGTTTACTAATAACAATGTCGTTATTTTTTTTCAAGCCATTTTGTCAAGTAATCGAAAACGCCAAAAGATTTTATTAAGGGTTATTAAACGCTATGTTACTTCTAATGCAGCACTCAAAGATAAATTTAAATCGTCTTTCAATGAAATTCAGCCCATTCTAGAAAATTTGATGAGAATAGAACCTCGAGACAGCGATGATAAATTTGTTAAAGATGTTAGCAACGACTTGTTAAAAATATTTTTTACATAATAAGTTTGCACGTTAGTACAAAATATCATTGTGTACGGAAAAAATGATTTTAAAAGAAACTTCATAAAAATCACTTTTATATCAGAGATTATAGAAAAGCATGTAAATATGTATATTATTTAATATAGTGTTATGTATTTAATAGTTTATTTATAGAAAAAAAAGAAATTAATAATAACATTGTACACACTAATTATTTTTTGAGTCCTTATATTGAGTCGAAGAAAAAAAAATTTTAATGATAAATTTGAAAAGACTCAAAAGTCAATGCGGCTTCGTTCCACATTGGGGTTGCTAACCGTATATCGAGTTTGTCTGCATTGTGCGGTAATTGCATAGTATGTCCGGAAATTAGATATAGTTAAAGCATAAATTTTTTTTTGAGTAAAAGCCTTTTAAAAGTTAAAAGGTCTTGTTGAACAGTTTTGGTGAATTAAAAGGTCTTGTTGAACAGTTGGTGAATTAAAAGGTCTTGTTGAACAGTTTTGGTGAATTAAAAGGTCTTGTTGAACAGTTTTGGTGAATTAAAAGGTCTTGTTGAACAGTTGGTGAATTAAAAGGTCTTGTTGAACAGTTTTGGTGAATTAAAAGGTCTTGTTGAACAGTTGGTGAATTAAAAGGTCTTGTTGAACAGTTGGTGAATTAAAAGGTCTTGTTGGTTGGTGAATTTTTTTCTCAGAAAAAGGTTTTTATATAGATTGAATAGAAAACATTGACCAAGAATAAGTTATTAAAAACTAAATAAAATTATTTCACAATTTTATTTAGTTTTTAAATTACAAGCATTTAAAATTAAAAAAAACCCGTTTAATTATAAAAAAACGTTATAATTATTAATGACTGTCTTTTTTTATTTACAGGTGTTAATTAGCCATAAAATTAGGGTTTCTAAAACAGTGGTTTTTAAAAAACAGCTGTTTTACTGTTTTTGAAATTCGCACCCCCCACCTTTATTACCCACACCCACCCTCCTTGTATTAAGCAGGCAAGAGTAAAATTTTTTCCAAAAATATATATCCTAATATAAACTTTACATTTTGTAATAGTATTTCAAAAATACAAGAGCTGATAATGACTTATCTGAAAGTCGTGATCTTATTTTTGTACAAAAGTTGGCCCACACGGAGAAGGGTCAGGGCAATAACATCCGTTTTTGCCATGTATAATAACATCCGTGAAACAACATCCGAAATTAGTATAACAACATCTGTGCAATAACATCCCAAATTTCATTTATGTATAATAACATCCGTGCAACTACATCTGTAGATTTTTCGGATGGATTTTTTTTTTTTTAAATGCATAATTTTCACCAGATGTAGTTACACATCTGATTTTTTTTCGGATGTAACTACATCCGCCAAAAAAAAATTATAATGCATTATTTTAAGCATAATAATTTTTTTTTTAATTATTTGATAGACTGCCTGCCCAAACCAAACCCTCAGTCGATGTAGCAGCACTCCGTTGCGAGTCAGGCTATTTGTCAGTCTATGTAGCAGCACTTTTATAATATAATAATTATATATGTAACTACATACGGATTTTTTTTTTTATCATGTACAATTTTAACAAAATGTTGTTACACATCTGATTTTTTTCGGATGTAACTACGTTCGGAAATTTATTTTATTTTATTTTCTATTTTATTTTTAATAATGCATTATTTTAGGCGTATGTAGTTACACATCGAGAAAAACTCTCGGATGTAGTTAAATCTTTCTAAAGATGTTATTAGACATCAATGAAATTTCGGGTGTTGTTGCACAAATGTTAATTCAGTAAAGAAAAAAAGCGGATGATCTTACACAAAATGTGCGGATGTTATTTCACTGCTCCACGGATATTGTTGGACAGATGTAGTAATCTTTTCCCCACGGAGAATACTCTTTTAACATCGGTAGATGTGGGCTTAATTGTTAATAATGCATCATAAAGCTTTTGAACCCAAAATTTGAATTTATTCTAGTTTATACGTGATATTGTCAGTTTTATCATAAATATCAACTCTAAAATATTTTTATCTCGTCGATAGTATTACCGTTAAAAGTAGTAACCTCATTACAGTATTAACAAAATCGACATACAGTATTACCGACATACAGTATTACCGACATACAGTATTACCGACATACAGTATTACATCGACGTACAATATTACCGACATCGACAGTATTGCAGCTTAATGTAGTAGCCTCATCGACAGTATTACCGCTACCGACAGTATTACCTCTTAAATTAGTAACCTCATCGGTAATACTGTTTTATTATTAAACCAACTAGAGTAACCTCAACGTCAGCAACTTTAATTGACAACATAATAACAACCGATATTTTTAATAAATCTCTTAAAATAGATATAAATAAAAATGACGTTTCCGACCTTTTCCCCCATTTTTTTCTCCATTACCATTGAGAAAAAAATAATAAAAAAGAATCAGCTCTCTCTAATATATTGGAAAAAGCTAATTTATAAAAATTACACTAAACTATTTGAAAGCCAAAAAAAAAAGTCAAAAAAATTATATTACTGCGATTTACTAGACAAGCATAAATCTAGTTCAAAGCGTGCGTGGCAAATTACAAGTCAAATTACTGGTAAAAACAAATTAAAAACGTGCTCTATACCAAACACTATAAAAATAGATGGCGTATTTTTACATGAACCTAAAATAGCGAACAAGCTAGATAATTTTTTGTATCTGTTGGACCAAATTTAGCTAAAAATATTCCTAATATGATAAATCCAATAAATGATTATGCTTTTTTATTAATTTCTAAATTAGATAAATTTGAAGTAACTTTTTCAGAATTTGAAAATGCATTTAAAATGCTGAAAACTAACAAATCAGTTGGTCCTGATGATAATACATAGATTGTAACATAGTTATAGATTCATACGACGTTCTATTTCCGCAGTCCAGAGGTCCGAGGTTCGACGTCGGCTCTAGCCCATTGGCAATATTGGTTAGGAAGGAGGCGTGAATTTCTACTTAAATACTCTCCCGCGGTACACCTAAAAATAACTTAATAAAAAATGTAAAGTAGATTCTTTTCAAAGTTTTTAAAGGTTCAATTAATCAATGAGTTTTACCAGACTAAGTAAAAATTAGCAAGATTACACCAGTATTTAAAGGTGGTGAATCCTTTAATGTTAGTAATTATCGTCCATTATTTATCCTCTCCGTTTTTTCAAAAAATTTAGAGCGAATTTTGTTTAACAAAATATACAATCATCTGACTGTTAATAATATACTTTACATGAACCAATACGATCACAAGAAAAAAAAAACTCTAAAGAACATGCAATAATTCATCTCACTCGAAGCATCACTGAATCATTTGAAAAGTCAGAAGTTACTTGAGGCGTTTTATAGACGTTTTTAAGACGTTTTACACAACTGACCATGATATACTTTTACAAAACTTGAATATTATGGTATTACTGGAAAAGCTTTAATGTTACTTAAAAGTTACCTGAAAAATCGCAAACAATATGTCCACGTCAAAGAATCTTCTTTACCTTACTTTCTAAATATAATCCGTGGAGTTCCACAAGGATCTATACTAGGACCCTTATTATTTCTAATTTATGTAAATGATCTCTATAAAGCCTCAAAATTAACAACAATCATGTTTGCTGATGATACTAACTTCTTCTTGTTATGTAATAATATCAATAAACTTTTTAATGATATGAATATTGAGTTAACAAAAATCTCTAACTGTTTCAAATCAAACAAACTTTCCCTTAATATTGAAAAGACTAAATGGACTCTCTTCTATCCAACATTTGAAAAATGTTTACTCACAATATGCCCATACTTTATATTGATAATATTCAAATAAAAAGAGTAACGTCTACAAACTTTTTAGGTATTATTATAGATGAAAATCAATCTTGGAAAAATCACATCAGAAACTTAATAGTAAAATTGCAAAAAGTATTGAAGTCTTGTATAAAGTAAAAAGCGTTTTGAATAAATATCTACTAATTCAACTTCATTACTCTTTTACACATTTTCATAATAATTATGCTAATATTACGCGGGGAAGAGCTTACAAAAGTAACTTAAAACCACTTTATTGCCAACAGAGGCAGATTGCACGACTTTTAAATTTTAAAGACCGTCATACTCACTCAAAGCCTCTCTTAATTAATATGAATATTCTTAATATATATAAAGTAAACGTTTTTAATGTTCTTTGTTTTATGTTCAAGTGTAAAAGTCTCTTCTCCAACCCCCTTTCTTGATTACTATTCTTTAAAAGAAAAAAATAAATATTCTTTAAGAAGTTATATTTCTATTAAATAACCAATTATCCAAACTAACTTTGGTAAAACCTGTATTTTATTTCGTGGAGTTTTCTTATGGAACAATATTGTGTTAAAAAATATTGATTTTTCTTATGATTCGAGTTATTTTTTATTTAAGAGAAAACTTAAAGAAGTAATTTTTTCAATTGATAATATACTTACATATTTTTAAATTATACTTAGCTCTTAAATACCTAAATATTGATTTATTTTATTTAATATTAATTTAAACTTATTATTTATATACATTTATTTGATTATAATTGAAGGTTACATTGACTACGATATTTGGTTTATATATTTTTTTATTTTATTTACGCTATTATACTGAACGACTTTAAATATAAATACAATTGCTGCGCTAGTTTTTTTTATTTAAACATGTATTTTAACCAGAGATGTAGGTCTCGAGACCAAAGTCTTGGTCTCGAGACGCCTCGAGACACATATTTCACTGTCTTGGTCTTGGTATTGGTCTTGAAACCTAAAGTCTTGGTCTTAGTCTTGGTCTCGAAGTCTAGAGTCTTGGTCTCGAAGTCTAGAGTCTTGGTCTTGGTCTTGGTCTCGGACCTCTACTGACTTTTACTTTCTTGGCTCTTACGAACAATATCAACTCAATAGGCCCGGTGAATAAAAAGAAGCAATTGCTTTTACTATGTAATTGGTCAGCTTAACGTGAATAAAAACTTCAGCAATCTTGTCGAAGTTTTTATTAACGTAAAGCTGAGTAATTACTGAGTAAATTACTTAACTTTACGTGAATAAAATTTGAGGTAAACTTTTAAAGTTTTTATTCAGGTAAAGTTGACCAATTATTGAGTAAAAGCAATTTCCCGCTCTTAACGGTAGCT